CCCACCCCCAACCTCACCCCACCCCAACCTCACCCCCACCCCCAACCTCAACCCTCCCACCCCCCCTACCCCCACCCCAGCTTTATGGCCCCTCAGCCATCTTTGGGCAAACGATATTCTAGAAGGTAAAGGGGGTGGGCTCAGGGGAAGGAAGGCAGACCCAAAGCAGCTGGGAAGGGAGAGGGAGTGGGAGGGGAACAGTCCTTGGCACTGAAGGGAGTCCCACTCTCCCCCCGCCTTCCCAATCCCCGAGGTGCTGGCTCTGGCTCCGACCACAGCTTTCGCGCCTTAAGCCACACCAACTATGCCCTTAACGCCCAGTGTCCTTCCAAGGCAAATCCCACTCCTGCCAAGTGACCCAGGTTTCTAGACCACCCGTGTATCTTGTCAGTCTTTTTGTATTGATTTTGTTTTGCACTGTATTAGAGTTTTTAATTTTTTTTATAAATGTGTAATAAATGGCATTGAAAAGTACTCACTTCTTATTTCTGTCTGCTTGACGAAGGGTGCTTAGGGGTTGGAAAAGCTCAGGCGTCCTATTTGGGTTGAGCTGGAGACGGGATGGAAAGCCAGGCTGCCCTGGATACAGGGAGCAGCGCTATTACCCCACAAAATCAGGATGGTTTTCCTGAGGCGTGATGTGAAGGAAGAAGTCAGGAATTCCAGCAGTCCCTATCCCTCCTCACCCCCCGACCCCCATTAAGTTATTCTGGCATAATTCCTCAGAAAAGAACACAATTGATACCATGTCCTTATTTCCAAAGAAGGTGATCCTAACAAGACCGTCATTACAAGATGGGGGTATAGCTCAGTGGTAGAGCATTTGACTGCAGATCAAGAGGTCCCCGGTTCAAATCCGGGTGCCCCCTCTGCACACCTAGGTTTTTCCAGTTTTCTTAGTTCTGCAGTCAATTTCTGTAAGTCTTCCTAGAGGTGACAGGAGAAGCGGCCCCGGGCCCTGCCATCCCCTTTTGCAGTCACTGAGGACCGAGGCCCAGGCCCTGCCCAACCCACAAGCTCACTTGCGTGTGTGTCTAAGAGTGGAATGCCTTGCGAGAGGGGGCCTTGGACCTTCCGGTGTGGAATGCATTACGCGAGAGGACTTGGACCTTCGGGTTGACCCATGTGGACTGTACATAAGGCCCACTCTCCTCGGTAGCGGGCAGGTGGGCACACTGCTAGGTCGGCCTGGCCAGTGACCCGAGGGCAGTTCTTAGGGAGGGAGGCTTAGTTTCTATGGGCGAGGCTTAGGCTAGGGAAGGAAGGCCCCGAGAAATCCGCGTCACAGTGTAGGAAGGAGAGAGGGGCGTTGAGCAGCAGTAAGGGGGCGATAGCAGGGCAAAAAGAAGAGGATCGCGGCTCGAAGGAACTCCCGGAAGTGAGGGATCTCGAAAGATCTCCAGGGACTCCACAGGCTCAAATTGCTTTTTTCTTACACCGTCAGTAGAAGCCTTTAGCTCAGTGCTTCAGAAAACAAACCCTGCATTCAGATGTGTATTCGCTTGAGATTTATGTCTTTTCCCGCTGCTGTAAACCTTGGACCCTATTTCTCTCCGAAGCTCCTCGCGGCGCCTTGTAGAAGAGCGTTAAGAAGCTTTCGGCGGCGCTGTTGCCAGCAGCGGGGGTATAGCTCAGTGGTAGAGCATTTGACTGCAGATCAAGAGGTCCCCGGTTCAAATCCGGGTGCCCCCTGCCTTGTTCTTTTCAGGCCCCACATTTAGTGAGTAAAGCAATTTTCCTTAAAGCTTTCCCCCTTCTTCTTCCACAATTTTATATTGAAATTTCGTTCGTTACGTCTCCTTTGGGCAGACGAAAAGCGACGAGAGAGTGCCAGAAACAATTCCGCAGCACTGGCTCTCAATTACGACCCCGGGGACCAGCACCACCACCTGGGGAAATGTTAGTAATGCAGGTTCTCCGTCTCATCCCAGAATTACTGAATTAGAAACTTGGAGGGTGGTGCCCGGAAATCTGTTTTAAAACTAGTTCCCCAGGTGATTCTGATGTACGTTCAAGTTCTACAGGTTTACATTTTTAAACATTTACATGTTATTTGTTTCTAATTATTTCCAGGTTGCTGTTTCCGCCTGAGCCCTTGTAGACCTTATAAAACAGACTGCGAGGCACCCCGAGCTGGGGAACGCACAAAGAGACGCAGGCCGGAGCTGCAGTCCCGTCCTGGCACCTCTCCGAAGGCAGGGACTTCCCAGAAGGTAGGGGCGAGGAGAAGTGGACCAGCGGGCCGAAGCCGGAGTCGGTGGACAGCGTCTGGGCAGGTTCGGGAAAGTGAAGGAAACCGCAAAACACGGTTTTTGCGTTGCGGGTCGTCACGTGGCCACTAGAGGGCAGCAAGAAGCCGAAGCTGGAAGCGGCGGCCTATTTGATCGCATTTAAGAGTCTGCAAAGTCGGGATTTCCATTAGACAAGGAGTTGCAGACAGGCCTCGCCTCGTTGCTCCGTAAGGGAATAGAGGGCTTAGGACTGCGGGCGTTCGTTTTTGGGACCCTGGGTCCTGAGGGAGGAGGAACTGGGCTTCTGAAAAATTAGAGAGTCTTGAGTTCCTTTTTTATTCCAGCTCACGTGGTTCCTTCTCTGGTCCCCACGCACGTCCTTCCTCTTGGGGAATCCCCCCAAAGACGCTCCGTCCACACCCCTCTCTGCGATTTTCCAGTTCCTAGACCCCAGACCCGTGGAAGCCAGGGTGCCCCCCAAGCCCCACTCTCCCATTCTCCAGCACCCGGACTCCTGCTGTCACATGAAGTAGGTCACGGGCGGAAAGAGGCACCTCCGAGTCCTGACCTGATTTCTCGCCGTCTATTAAATCTCCTAAATTGCGGGTATTTTTATTCTGTCCTGGAAGGGAAAAAAAAAATCTATCCCCAGAGCCTGTTGTACGGCAGAGGCAGGGGGGTGAACTGTGTTCTTGCTCTGGGGCTGGTTTTGAAGATTGGGTCGGGCCCTGAGAAGGCCTGGGGTCCCCCGAGGGGTGGCCTGGGTTACCTTCTAGGAATGGGGAGAGGTCCAATCTATTTGAAATCAAGGGTGGGCCAGGCCCCCTCCACCCCAAGCGTGCTGGGCTGGGGGCAACACGGTGCTGGAGATGGGGGTTTGCGTGGCAAAGCGGACCGGAGCCCTGGGAGGGGGTGGAATCCAGGCATGGGCTGGGCGAGGAGCTGTGGGTCTTTGCCATAAGGGGAGATTCCGGGGTGGGGGTGGGAGGGCACCCACAAACTCCGAGGAGCAGCCCAGAAAGTCGGGAAACCTGGCGGAGCTGGGGCATGGGGTGGGATGGCCGGAGCCCAGGACGGAGGAGGGGT